GATTTTATTTTTCCTTTACTTCTGAAGCTCAGTTTGGCTGGATATGAAATTCTGGGTTGAAAGTTCTTTTCTTTAAGGATGTTGAATATTGGCCCCCACTCTCTTCTGGCTTGTAGTGTTTCTGCCGAGAGATCTGCTGTGAGTCTGATGGGCTTCCCTTTGTGTGTGACCCGACCTTTATCTCTGGCTGCCCTTAGTATTTTCTCCTTTATTTCAACCTTGTTGAATCTGATGATTATGTGCCTTGGGGTTCCTCTTCTTGTTGAATATCTCTGTGGTGTTCTCTGTATTTCCTGAATTTGAGCGTTGGCCTGCCTTGCTAGGTGGAGGAAATTTTCCTGGATAATATCCTGAAGAGTATTTTTCAGCTTGGATTTATTCTCTTCATCCCCTTCTGGTACACCTATGAAATGTAGGTTAGGTTTCTTCACAGAGTCCCACACTTCTTGGAGACTTTGTTCATTCCTTTTTGCACTTTTTTCTATAATCTTGGTTTCTCGTTTTATTTCATTGAGTTGATCTTCGACTTCTGATATTCTTTCTTCTGCTTCGTCAGTTCGGCTGTTGAAACTTGTGCATGCTTCGGGAAGTTCTCATATTGTGTTTTTCAGCTCCTTCAATTCATTCATATTCCTCTCTAAGTTATCCATTCTTGTTATTATTTCCTCGAATCTTTTTTCAAGTCTCTTTTCAAGGTTCTTAGTTTCTTTGCATTGATTTCGAACATGTACTTTTAGCTCACAGAAGTTTCTCATTACCCACCTTCTGATGTCTGATTTCGTCATTTTGTCACAGTCATTCTCCGTCCAGCTTTGTTCCCTTGCTGGTGAGGAGTTTTGGCCCTTTGTAGGAGGTGTAGTGTTCTGGTTTTGGGTGTTTTCCTCCTTTTTGTGCTGGTTTCTTCCCATCTTTGTGGATTTATCCACCTGTCGTCTGAGTAGTTGCTGACTTTTCGATTGGGTCTCTGAGTGGACGCCCAGATTGTTGATGATGAGGTATGTTACTTGGTTTTCCTTCTACCAGTCTAGCCCCTCCACTGTATGACTGCTGAGGTCCACTCCAGGCCCTGCTTGTCTGGGATACACCTGTAGCAGCTGCAGAACGGTGAGGGATGCTACCAGTTTCTGTTTCTGCTATTTTTGTCCCAGAATGGTGCCCATCTGATGTCAGTCTGATCAGTTCTTTTTGAGGTGACTCTGGATATAGAGGGGTCAGGGAGCTGCTTGAGGAGATAGTCTGTACTTTATAGGAACTCAGGTGCTGAGCTGTGAGCTCCGTTGTTCATTCAGGGCTGTTAGGCAGGTGTGTTTAATTCTGCTGCAGCACAACTCTTAGAACCCTTTTGTTTTCTCAGATGCTCTGTCTTGGGGGGGTTGGGGCTTTCTTTATGAGTGTCCGTGGCACTATCCTGCCCAGCTAGGAAGCAGTCTAGTCACTATTTGCCTGCTGAGGCTCCGCCCTGCTGATGTGGCATGGGCCCTGTTGCTGCGTGCTCTGCCTTGCAGGCGTGGGCTTTGCAGCTGGTCCGCCCTGCTGCCACCAGCTCTGCCCTGCAGCGCAGTCTCTGTTATGGCGTGTTGCCTCAGCAATGGCAGGCTGCGTCAGCAATGGGAGTGTACCTCCGTAGGGGCGGATATCCTCGGTAATGGCGAATGCTTCTCCCCCACCGAGCTGCATTGTCCTGGGTTCAGCTGTGCTTGGAGTGAAACTCTCCACCGGGAGCATTTTGAGTTGCCATTTTGTTTGTCCCTGTGGGGATGAAACCCACTGAGCCCACTCACCTGGCTCCCTGCCTCAGAGCGCCTTTTTTTTTTTTTTTAAGTTGAACGGATGGCTCTCTCCCAGGTGTTTTAGTCGCCCACTGTTAGATCACCGGGATCTGTGTGATCTCCCATGCAGCTAGCCACTGCGCTGGCTCAAACGCCACTTCCCAGGAATCTCCTGGTCTGGCTCACTGTCCAAGTCCCATTTAATCAGATGGATATGCTAATCTGCCCTCCAAATCTCAGATTGCCAGTTTAGCAGGGCACCAGGGCCCGTGTGTTTTGTGTGGATTGTTGGGGAGTGCCTGCGCTGTGGCCCCGGCTGAAGTGGCTGCAACAGCCAAACTGGCTGCGCTCGTGTCCCATGTCTTTCCTACACCTGGGACTTTCCCCGTTCTGTGGCCAACAAAGATCCATCTGGAAATGTGGCTTTGACTCACCCTCTGAGCATTCACTGAGAGCTGCGATCCCGAGTTGTTCTTACTGTGCCATCTTGAAAACCCCCTCAGTTTTAAGTTTAATCTCATGACCATGTGACTTAATCATAGATTGCAAAAGCTGTACAAACAAATTATGCTCTTTAGTTTCTATTTGCTTCATGTTTTCCTCCAGATGAAAAAAAAAAAAAAAGGTTATTCACTTACTTACACTGTAGCTTCACCTCTATAGTTTGTAGGCATTGTGATTGTCCCTCGTGTCCAGGCCCCAAGTTCAGGGTGCCAGCTGTTGGAAACTGAACATGAACCCAGGAGTCTCGTCCAGTGAGAGGGTTCCAAACCTGTAAGACAGCATGTGTGTAAAAAGAGACATAGAGCGGGGTCTGGAGGACTGATTAGGCAGTGCCCAGACAGCAATTTTATTTGTGCAGTAGGTTCCATTATATACTTTTCTACTTAATGTTGTTCACGTCAGATCAAAGCTTTTCTCCAATAACAAAAGAAACAGAAAACAATTCTGGGGAACTAGGTGATGCTGATTATCAATATTGTCAGAATGGCCAGTAACTCGGATAACAATCTTCAATTATCTAGAAGTCACAAGCTCAGCAGTAAATAATGCATCTGCAAAAGACAAGGACCACAGGGGAGGTCACCAGGCTGAAACAATGCCTGGTAGACAAAGTCATGAAACAGGCTTAGATCAGGAGCCAGAAAGGGGGACACAATATCCAGTTAAACCACTTCGGTGTTCACCCAGCCATTATGTCAGCGACCAAGAAAGCTGGAAATAGTGTCCTGCTTTGTCACTCTCCTCTCGATCCCAAGCATTTCGAATGAAGGATACATAGTCTGTACTTGTAAGTATTTTAGGTGGTTATATATGGCTGTTTTGTTGGAAGGGACCTTGTTTGTGCTATGCCATGGCTTGTAATCCAGTTTTTGAAGAAGGCATCTTTACTTGTACCTCCCTTTGAGATTCATGGTGCACATTTGTATGTTTTTTCTTTTCTTTTTTTTTCTTTTTTTGAACCTTGCTCTGGTCCCTATGCTGGAATGCAGTGGCAGAATTAAGGCTTACTGCAGCCTCTACCTTCTAGTCTCAGGAGGTCCTCCTGCCTCTGCTTCCTATGTAGCTGGGCTCAGGCATTTACTGCCACATTTGGCTAATATTTTATTATTTTTTGTAGATATGAGGTCTTACTATATTGCCCAGGATAATCTAGGCTTAAGTGATATGCCCATCTCAGCCTCCCTAAGTGCTGGGATTACAGACATGAATCGCTGCTCTCAGTGTCACTACTGCACGTTAAGTATTCTGAGAATTCCTGTGGAAAAGAAATTTGACTTGACTTTGCTTAACATAGTTCCCCATAACCATTTTTTTTTTTGAGATGAAGTCTCACTCTGTCACCCATGCTGGAGTGTAGTGGCATGATCTTGGCCCACTACACTCAAGAAATTCTCTGCCTCAGCCTCCCAAGTAGCTGGGATTACATGCACCCACCACCATGCTCTGCTAATTTATTTTTTTATTTTTAGTAGAGACAGGGTCTTACCATTTTGACCAGGCTAATATTAAGTGTCTGACCTCATGATCTACCTGCTTTAGCCTTCCAAATTGATGGGATTACTGACATGAGTCAACATGCCTGGCCAACCATTTTCTTTTCTCGTTTATTTTTTTCAAAGTATCTATGTATTAATTATTTTCTTTTCTCAGACCTTGCAGGAATTAAATTCTCCCTTCCACAACACCCCAGTATGGTCCTCTACACTCTACAAGGGCTTCTGAGGACAGCAGGCTCAGAGAGACTGATTTTAGCACTTAACATTTTGAAGACATTTTAAGAACTCTAACTGTATTTATTTATAGCTTTAAAACTATTCATGTTTCTAGTCCAGTTAATTAATTAAAAAAAAATGGTGATGCATCAAGTCCCCTAAGCATATGGTGTGGGGGGGTTCTGGGTTCAAAGTGGAGGCACCTGATGGTCAAGTTCAGGTTCTTTGTCCCGTGTGGGAACTGGAGTTCATGTCAGTCTGCTGGAGGTGAGCAAGGGATGCTTTGTTTAGCAAGGCTGAGGGGATAGTGGTGAACTGCAGATATAAATTTTTAGCCAACTGCATTTATTGCAGATTGCTTTTTAAAAAAATTTAACACATAGCTTGGTTCAGTGGCTCACAGTTGTGAGCCTAGCTACTCAGGAAGTGAAGGCAGGAGGACATAAATTTGACACCAGCCTGGGTATCATAGCAAGATCCCATCCCTTAAAAAGATAAAAGCTTAGCTGGGCATGGTGGTGCACATCTGTGGTCCCAGCTACTTAGCAGGCTGAGTCAGGAGGATCATTTGAGCCCCAGAGTTTGAGGCTACAGTGAGCCATGCTGTCACCACTGTGCACAGGCCTCGGTGACACAGTGAGATTCCATCTTTAGAAGGAACAAACAAAAATTCAGCACGTTTGTTTCCTCACTTTTTACCTTAAGCATGTAATTTTGTTGCTTTATACAATCTAACCTTTCCTAAATATTGTGAACTCAAGATATTTGGAAAATACCTGCATCTGAAATTTTACAGAGTTCCAGATGCAATGAGCCAAGTGAATTTTATTCTATTCATTTTAACAGTGTCCTCAAGGTGAATCCAGTTCAGCCCAATTCTCCTGAGGGCTTTTGTGCAGCCTTCATTGTTGAAGTGGACCTCCTCTTTCCCTAAAGCCCACTGTTGGAGACAGCTCCCCCTGCCATCAGTGGTAATATGCTGCTGCTTACTCCTTTCTTTTCTTTGGACTTGCAGGGTTCCTGTGTTGCACTGAGACTGGTGGGTTATGCACAGAATGGCCACAAATTTACCTTGAGCAATCTGAATTTGAGCCTGCGACCACCTCAGTTTGTGAGTGTCCAAGTCCATCAAGTTCTTTCTTCTAATAGCATATGTGTGTGTGTGCATGTGTGTGTATACTTCCATGTTTTCTCTAGTCCTCCCTTTTTATTTCAGTGAAGTTCACGTAATAAAGAATTAATAATTTTAAGGTGAACTATTCAGTGGCATTTACTGCATCCATAATTTTGTACAATTATGACCTCTATTTCCAGAACATTTTCATTACCTCAAAATGAGACTCCATCTGCATTAAGTCACCACTCGGATTCCCCTGTCCCAGTCTCTGGCAACCACTAATTTTATTTCTATCAATGGATTGCTTGTCTTGGACATTTCATATCAATGGAATCATATAACATAGCCTTTTGTGTCTGGCTTCTCTCCCTCAGCATCGTGTTTTCAGGGTTCATCCATGTTGCAGCATGGATCAGTCCTTCTGAATCATATTCATTCATGTGGCTGAATCATATTCCATTCTGAGGATAGACCACTTCTTTATCTATCTATCTACCTATGAATATGTAGGTTCTGTCCACTGTTTTGACTGTTGTAAATAGTATGTGCTATGAGTATTCATTTTAACACTGGTTTTTAATTCTTTTAGTTAAAATCACCGGTTTTTAACTTAATATCTAGCAGTGGAATTGCTGGATCATGTAGTAATTCTGTTTAACTTTTTGAGTATTCTTTTTTTTTTTTTTGCGAGCACTATGAAATGTGTATTCTTTTAATCAAATCCACCCTCCTATAATTTAATTCTAACCCAGACACAAAAGAATGTTTCTCTTTCTTCTCAGGATGGCACCAGCAATCCTCTGATGGTCACACCACCCTCAGCAGAGGCCCACTGGGCTGTGAGGGTAAGTGAACAGGACAGCTTCTTGGCTGTCTTCCAAATAGAATTGTTCTAGTAGTTGTTCAAGAATTGTTCTGGAATTCTAGTTTGACATAGTTCTGAGCACTTTATAGAATTATTGTGTCCCTCTTCTGTCTCAGTGTGAGTGGCCACAGAATGTGCATGAAACACCTCTTCAGATGAATATTTATTTTTCTGTTCTTTTTTTCACCTTTCTGTGTCTGAATTATATTTTATTATGGAGATATATCACTTCTTTATTCATCTACAAATGAACATGTAGGTTCTGTCTACCCTTTTGACTGTTGTGAATAGTATGTGCTATTTTTTTCATTTAATCTCATAACAAGTCTATGTACCTTGTTTTTCATAAGGTCTATGGTCTAACTTTCATATATATGTATGTGTGTGTGTGTATATATATATATATATATATACATATATATACACACACACACATACATATTATTGCACTTTAGGTTCTGGGGTACATGTGCAGAATATGCAGGATTGTTGCATAGGTACATACATGGCAATGTGGTTTGCTGCCTCCATCCCCATCACCTATATCTGGCATTTCTCCCCATGTTATTTCTCCCAAACTCCCTATCTCCTGCTGTCCCTCCCCTAGTACCCTCCCACACAAACCCCAGTGTGCGATACACCCCTCCCTGTGTCCATGTGTTCTCATTGTTCAACACCTGCATATAACAGAGAACATGCTCTGTTTGATTTTCTGTTCTTGTGTCGGTTTGCTGAGAATGATGGTTTCTAGATTTATCCAAGTCCCTAGAAAGGACACAAACTCATCATTTTTTATGACTGCATAGTATTCCAAGGTGCATATTTGCCACATTTTCCTTGTCCAGTCTATCATTGATGGGCATTTGGGTTGGTTCCAGGTTTTTGCTATTGTAATAGTGCCACAATGAACATACGTGTGCATGTGTCTTTATAATTGAATGATTTATAATCCTTTGGATATATACCCAGTAATGGGATTGCTGGGTCAAATGGAATTTCTGTTTCTAGGTCCTTGAGGAATCGCCACACTGTCTTCCACAATGGTTGAACTAATTTACACTTCCACCAACATTGTAAAAGTGTTCCTGTTTCTCCACATCCTCTCCAACATCTGTTGTCTCCAGATTTTTAAATCATCACCACTCTAACTGGCGTGAGATGGTATCTCAATGTAGTTTTGATTGGCATTTCTCTAATGACTAGTGATGATGAGCATTTTTTCATGTTTTTGGCCTGATGTATGTCTTCTTTTGTAACGTGTCTGTTCATATCCTTTGCCCACTTTTTAATGGGCTTGCTTTTTTTTTCTTGTATATCTGTTTTAGTTCTTTGTAGATTCTGGATATCAACCCTTTGTCAGATGGGTAGATTGCAAAAATTTTTTCCCATTCTGTTGGTTGCCGATTCACTCTAACAATTGTTTCTTTGCTGTGCAGAAGCTCTGGAGTTTAATTAAATCCCATTTGTCTATTTTGACTTTTGTTGCCATTGCTTTTGGTGTTTTAGTCATGAAGTTTTTTCCTATGCCTATGTCCTAGATGGTTTTGCCTAGGTTTTCTTCTAGGGTTTTTATGGTGTTAGGTCTTATGTTTAAGTCTTTAATCCATCTGTAGTCAATTTTAGTGTAAGGTGTCATGAAGGGGTCCAGTTTTTGCTTTCTGCACACTGCTAGCCAGTTTTCCCAACACCATTTATTAAACAGTGAATTCTTTCCCCATTGTTTGTTTTGGTCCGGTTTGTCAAAGATCAGATGGTTGTAGATGTGTGACATTGCCTCCGAGTCCTCTGTTCTGTTCCATTGGTCGATATCTCTGTTTTGGTACCAGTATCCTGCTGTTTTGATTACTGTAGCCTTGTAGTATAGTTTTTTTTTAATAAAAGAAAGAAAGAGAAAGAGAAAGGGAAAGAGAGAACAGGAGTCTTGCTCTATTGCCCAGGCTGGAATACAATCTAAAAATAGGTATTAAAAACCTCTTTTATGCTGATAATTGTACTTAACAGTGGAAACAGAAAGGAATAAGGGAAGAAAAAAACAAACAGCCAACCAATATTTCATTTAAGTCTGTGAAATGCTATGCAAATGCTGAAGAGTGATTTACTTCCAATTATGTGGTCACTTTCAAAATAGGTGTAATGTGATACTGAGAAAAATATATGTTCTGTGGACCTGGGGTGAAGAATTTTATAAATATTCACTGAGTTTACCTGTTCCAGGTCTAAGTTCAAATCATAGATGTCCCTGTCGATTTTCTTTCTCATTGATCCATTGAATATTAACAATGTGGTGTCAAAGTCTCCCGCTATTATTGTGCGGGAGTCCAAGTCTCTTTAAAAGTCGTTAAGAACTTGTCTTATGTATCTAGGTGCTCCTATATTGGGTGCATATATATTTATAATCATTGACTCCTGTTGTGGCATTGATCCTTTTACCATTATGTAATGTTTTTTGTTTCTTTTAATCTTCGTTACTATCAAAGTCTGTTTTGTCAGAGACAAAAGTTACAACTCCTGCTTTTTTTTTCTCTCCATTTGATTGGTGAGTCTTTCTCCAACCCTTTGTTTTGAGTCTTTGTGTGTCCTTGCTTATGAGATGGATCTGGATACAGCATACCAATGGGTTTAACTTTTTATTCAATTTGCCTGTCTGTGTATTTGATTGGGACATTTAATCCATTTAAATTTAGGATTAATATTGATATTTGTGAGTTTAATATTGTCATTTAATGCTAGCTGTCTATTTTGCCCATTAGTTGATGTAGAGTCTTCATTATGGAAATACTCTTTACCTTTTGGTAAGTTTTTGGGATGACTGATACTGGTTGTTCCTTTCTGTGTGTAGTGCTTCTTTCAGAAGCTCTTGTAAAGCAGGCCTGGTGGTGATGAAATCTCTGAGTGCTTGCTTGTTCGTGAAAAATTTTATTTTTTCCTTCATTTCCAAGCTTAGTTTGGCTGGATATGAGATTCTGGGTTGAAAATTCTTTTCTTTGAGGATATTGAATATTGACCATCACTCTCTTCTAGTTTGTAGTGTTTTTGCTTAGAGATCTGCTATGAGTCTGACACCCTTTGTAGATAACCTGACCTTTCTCTCTAGCTGCCCTTAGAATTTTCTCCTTTATTTCAACCCTGATGAATCAAACGATTATGTGTCTTGAGGTTGCTCAACTTGAGGAATATCTTTGTGGTGTTCTCTGTATTACCTGGAGTTGAGTATTTTCCTTCCTTACTAGGATAGGAAAGTTTTCCTGAATAATATCCTGAAGAATATTTTCCAGTTTGGATTCATCCTCTTCATGACATTCAGGTACACCTATCAAACGTAAATTAGGTCTTTTCACATAGTTCCATATTTCTTGGAGACTTTGCTTATTCCTTTTTACTTTTTCTTCTCTAATCTTGTCTTCTCATTTCATTTCATTAAGTTGGTCTTCGACCTCTGATATCCTTTCTTCTGCTTGATTAATTCTACTGTTAAAAACCTGTGCATACTTCATGGAGTTCTTGTATTGTATTCTTCAGTTCCATTAATTCACTTATATTCCTCTCTTAATTGTCTATTCTTGTTAGGATTTTGTCAAACCTTTGTTCAAGGTTCTTAGTTTCTTTACATTGGGCTAGAACATGTTCTTTTAACTCACTGAAATTTCTTATTATCCACCTCCTGCATCCTAATTCTGTTAATGGAACGCACTCGTTCTCCATCAGGCCTTGTTCCCTTGTTGATGAGGAACTGTGATCCCCTGTAGAGGGAGAGGCATTCTGATTTTGGGTTTTCTCAGCCTTTTTACGCTGGTTTCTTCCCATCATTTTAAATTTATCCACCTGTCATCTTTGTAATTACCGACCTTCAAATTAGGTCTCTGAGTGGACATCCAACTTGTTGATTCCCAGCTCTGGAATCTGAGCAACCCACTGTGCTGTCTAAAACAGTGGAATTAAGATTCTTGGTGCTTTTCTGCCAGGGAATCTCTGGTCTGGCTTCCCTCCTGAGTTCCCTTTTCAATCAGCTGAATGGGTGACTCTGCCTTCCTGGATCTCCAAACATCAACCAAAAGGGGACCCAGTCCCGTTTACCCTGCATTGAGAACTGCCACAGCAGGGTGTCAGCAAAACCACTGCTCTGGCCACACGAGTTGCGCTGGCGACCTGTGGGGCTCCTCCGCTGGGAATCTCCTGGCCCATGAGCAAGAAAAATTCATCTGAAAGTGTGGCATCCTCTCATTCTTTGTGCTTTCAGTAGGAACTACAATCCTGAGCTGCTAGTAATTGGCCATCTTGGATCTCTCCTTATAGTTTTAAGTCAGATAGCATAATGCTGACTTAAAACTATTTAAAGAACAAAGATGGTAATTTTTGTTTTTGCTTAGGATTGTCTTGGCTATGTGGGCTCTCTTTTGGTTTCATATGTGGGCTCTCTTTTGGTTTTATTTTTTTCCAGTTCTGTGAAGAGGGTCATAGGTAGCTTGATGGGGGTAGTGTTGAATCTATAAATCACTTTGGGCAGTATGGTCATTTTCACATTATTGATTCTTCCTAACCATGAACATAGAATGTTTTTCCATCTCTTTATGTCCTCTCTTATGTTCTCAAGCAGTGGTTTGTAATTCTCTTTGAAGAAGTCCTTTACATCCTTTGTTAGTTGTATTCCTAGGTATTTTATTCTCTTTGTAGTAATTGTGAATGGCAGTTCATTCTTGATTTGGCTCTCTTTAAGTTTTTTATTGCTGTATAGGAATTCTTGTGATTTCTGCCCACTGATTTTTGTATCCTGAGACTTTGCTGAAGTTGCTTATCAGTTTCAGATTTTGGGCCAAGACCATGGGGTCTTCTAAATATACAATCATGTCATCTGCAAATAGAAACAATTTGATTTCCTACTTTCCTGATGGAATACCCTTTATTTCTTTTTCTTGCCTAATTTCTCTGGCTAGAACTTCCAATACTATATCGAACAGGAGTGATGAGAGAGGCATTCTTGTCTAGTGCCAGATTTCAAAGGGAATGCTTCCAGTTTTTGCCCATTCAGTATGATATTGGCTGTGGGTTTGTCATAAATAGCTTTTATTATTTTGAGATACATCTCATCAATACCTAGTTTATTGAGGGTTCTTAGCATAAAGGGCTGTTAAATTTTGTCAAAGACCTTCTCTGCATCAATTGATATAATCATGTAGTTTTTGTCTTTGTTCTGTTTATGTGGTGAATTACATTTATAGACTTGTGTATGTTGAACCAGCCTTGCATCCCCAGGATGAATCCTACTTGATACTGATGGATAAGCTTTTTCATGTCCTGTTGCAATTGGTTTGCCAGTATTTTATTGAAGATTTTTGCATCTATGTTCATCATGGATATTGGCCTGAAGTTGTCTTTTCTTGTTGAGTCTCTGCCAGGCTTTGGTATCAAAGAGGAGGTGGTACAACTCTTTCTGAAACTATTCCAAACAATCCAAAAAGAGGGAATCCCAAGGATTGTATGTCTGGTAGAATTCAGCTGTAAACCCATCTGAACCTGTTTTTTTTTTTTTGGTTGGTAGGCTATTAATTGATGCCTCAACTTCAGCCCTTATTATTGGTCTATTTACTGTTTTGACTTCTTTCTGGTTTAGGCTTGGGAGGGTGCAAGTGTCCAGGGATTTATCCATTTCTTTCAGGTTTACCAGTTTATATGCATAGAGTTGTTAGTAATCTCTGATGGTAGTTTGTATTTCTGTGGAATCGGTGGTGATATCCCCTTTATCATTTTGTATTGCATCTATTTGATTCTTCACTCTTTTCTTTTTTATTGATCTGGCTAGCAGTCTGTCTATTTTGTTGATCTTTTCAAAAAACGAGCTTGTGGATTTATTGATTGTTTTGAAGGGTTTTTTGTGTCTCTATCTCTTCAGTTCTGCTCTTATCTTAGTTATTTCTTGTCTTTTGCTAGCTTTTGAGTTTTTTTGATCTTGCTACTCTAGCTCTTTCAATTATGATGACAGGGCATCGATTTTAGATCTTTCCTTGCTTCTCATGTGGGCAGTTATTGCTATAAATTTTCCTCTGGACACTGCTTTAAATGTGTCCCAGAGATCCTGGTACGTGTCTTCATTCTCTTTGGTTTCGAAGAACATCTTTATTTCTGCCTTCATTTCATTGTTTATCCAGTCAGCATTCAAGAGGCAGTTGTTCAGTTTCCATGAAGCTGTGCAGTTCTGAGTTAGTTTCTTAATCCAGAGTTTAATTTGATTGCAGTGTGGTCTGTGAGACTGCTCGTTATGATTTCCTTTCTTTCATTTGCTGAGGAGTGATTTACTTTCCATTATGTGGTCAGTTTTAGAGTAGGTGTGATGTGGTGCTGAGAAGAATGTATATTCTGTGGCTTTGGGTGGAGAGTTCTGTAAAAGTCTATTAGGTTTGCTTGGTCCAGGTCTGAGTTCAAGTCCTGGATATCCTTGTTAATTTTCTGTCTGGTTGATCTGTCTGATATTGACAATGGAG